AATTTTAAGAAAAGCATTCGCTCTAGGTCCCAAAATACAATTTTTTTAGCCAACTTTTATTTTAAAAAATAATCCAATAATTGTCCCTCCCAGCAATAAAACTTAAGTGGTGCTCTGTCCCACTGGTTATTCATGCAATGCAAGTGTAGTATCCAGCAGGGAATGAAACTCTCTGAAAAAGCCCTGCATGAGAGGAGATTTATTCAAACATTTTAGAAGCATCAACAGAACATATCAGTTAGAACAAGGCAGGAAGGCAGTAAGTAATCAAACAGTTGCTTTGTGAATGGAGAAATTTTTTAAATACTATGTAATGTAATTTTTCTGTCTTCTAATTTTCTAGCTAGGTAAACTGTAGTTCAGTTCCTCACTGAATGCTGGAGGTATCTAATCTTGTAAGAGGTGGCAAGCGTAGTCAATCTGAAGGTTTTGTTTAAATTTAAGTAGATGCTGAGGGGAAACTTTCACCTGTTCTCCTGCTACAGTCAGCATTGACTGAAAGAGAATGGAAACTTGATGTGACTTATCATACGGCCATATTTCTAAATAATCTGTATTTTTCTTCCACTTTACTTTAGATCTAGGTCTCATAAAGCTGTGTGCAAAAAAATTACTCCCTTTCAATGAAAAGGTCTATCTAATATTTTTATTCATTAAATATTCATTGAATCTTTACCATTTCACTGATTTTGTGGATTGTGTAAAATGGTTGTTTTCATGATATCACTTCTTGAAATTACTACAGTTTTTGTTGGCATACATATTTTCTCCTGTTGTTAATCAAAATGTGTTGGGCTGTGGAAATCACTTAAAGCAACAAAAATGAGCGACAACAACATTTTGAACTCTCTGAATTATATATATTCTTAAAGAGAAATCTTATGTGCATGGTGATGGTTGCCACTACCACGAAAGAAATACTTCAGAGGTAGGTAAATATGGCCCAGGGATTGGATCTGACTTTAGATATCATACAAAGATATTTGATTAGTGCCAAAAAAATGAATTTGAAATATATAAAAAAAAAAGTAGAATCATCGGTTGCCATACCAATGTGGTTGTGATCATGTGTGAAACATTACATTTTATGTATTAATTAGGAGGTAGGAGGCAAGAAGTGAAAAAGAAGGATAACATCATTAATCTTTCTTCCTTTTAGAAAACCCCAAAAATAAGAGATAAATAAGAAAATAAAATAAGCCAGGCCAAAGCCTGGTTTCAGCTTCTTGATAACCGATGCTTCATTGGTGCTACAAGGCTACTATTAAGTCCCCTCCCCAAAGCCTCCTCTTCTCCAGTCCACTTCCCTCAGCCTCTCATTTTCTTTCTTCTGTCAGTAGGATTCATATATTGGACTAACGCTAAAAAAAGTATTAGGATACAAATATCTCAGCTGTTTGGAGCCTGCTGATTTTGGCAACTGCAGGTTTGAGTTAACTTCATGGAGGCTTAAAGAGCTTGAGTGAAAACTGAGGGCCAGATGATAACTGTCCAGCAATTCCTGTGTAGCACCAAATTTCTTTCCTTCCTCACCTATCTACATGATATTATTTATTCTCTTTTGGGATTACATGCTGATTCTTTTACAGTTTACATTGAGTGATGGAAGAAAATACTCACTGATTTTGTTCAATGATAATAATAACATATTAAATGATAGCTAACTCTAGTAGCAAGACGTAGTTCTGTTCTTCCCCAGAAGCAAATAACTTACCAGGTCTCCACCCATTAACAGGAACCTGGGGAAAGCCACTCCAGGAAAGGAGGCCCTTGCTGTGATAGGTTCTAGTTTGTATAACTTTCCTCACAACTACATTGAAAAAGAAATGCCACCTTTATCTGCTGTTAGAAATGGTTCTTCGTAATAGCAGAAGATGCAGGTTTCCAAGACCCAGCGGGGCAGAATACTCTGGTACATAAAGCTTGTCCAGCTGTGAGCAGGAGGTTGGACTAGAGACCTCCTGCAGTTCTCTCCAGCCTGAATTATCCTATGATTCTAAGAAGTTCACTCTTCTGAATGAAAAACAGTATGTTTGTGCATATGTGTATTGCAGTTGTGTATTTTTTAAATTGTATTTACCAACCTTATTTGACTTAGGAAACATCAAAGATTCCATCAGAGTGTTGTCTGGGTGGCTTCTCCAATTTCAACACCTACTTTTTTTTTCCTGTGGCTTCATGGGACAATTTGACTGATGAGGTCTACAAAATGCAGTAATACTTCCTGTTTTCTGCATAAATTTTTTATAAAAAACCCAATGATCTAATTCACCACATCTCAGTCTTCCTCTCTTTTTTGGTCATTATGTAATAATACGTATGAGAAAATGCGTGTGAGACCATCTTTTATAATTTTGTTCTCATTCCAATAACTTCTGTCATTTTGCTTCAAGTTATCATCATTATGAATGAAAAAGCTCAACCACAGCTCTTCTATAGGACACATGCATTTTGGGTTCTGTCGCGGGAAGTTGGTGAGCAGTCAGCTGTGTTCCTTGAAGGGTACTTGGTCTGTTTCTTACATTTGTGAGATGTTTTTTAGGTGTTATGATTGTAATGTTTTTTTAATGTACTAATGGTTACAGACTGAGGTTTGGGGGGATCTATTTCACACTTATTCATGATGTTATTCTTTTGCTTTGAATAAAAATTTATTGATGATCAGTTTCTTCAGAAAAATATTGAAGACAAAAATTATTTCCAATCATCAAGGCTGACTATTTTGCCAAGAAATTTAACATCGTCTCTGCCATTGATGTCAGCAAGAATAGGATTAAGGAGCAGGCTTTAATTTGCTTAGCTGTAACAGAAGAAGTCAGAAATAGCTTTAGCAGTTAAATTACTTGTGGCAGAATTGTTTGTTTATGTCCCTAATATTCCTGTGGTATATTTTTGAATGATAGATCGTTTAAGCTGACTCACACATCTGAAAGATTAACATTTTACCAATATTCAGTTACCTTATTTCATATTCTTGTTAGTGTAAGAGGCAGTTTAACTGAAAAATGAATGCTAATAAAATGCCTTTTTAGTAATTCATTTTGAAAACCATTTGACCTTAACTACAATGAAAGTAGACTGTAAAAATCATCATAGATTCCCTTCCTTGAACTTTTCACAATGCTGAAAAATGACTGAGGGAAAGAAGCAAGATCCAGTTACTGTACCCTGTTTGTACAGCTGTACTTCATTGAGTGGAGGCTTGTGTTACACACAGTTTGTGATAGGAAGTAAATGCTTTTAAAACAACTAAGGAGACAGGTCTTTAACCTCCACCTTTTCAGATGCTTTGTTCACTCATTTGGCTTCTGTCGAGGTCTTGGGAAACATTTCAAATACAAATTATTATTGAGTACTGAAGCTCACCTGAATAATTCATCTCCTAGTGAGCTCATTAGGCAGAGATGCATTAAGATGCTGTTGGGTTGTTTTTTTTTTTGAGAGAGAGAGATCACTAGTTCTTGATATAGGGAGCACTTGATCCTTCAGAAGCAAATGCATTTCAAGAAGGGACAATTCTCAGGTTGTGTTAAGTGTTTTGTCATGGTTGAAATTACAGTTTTAATTCAGCAATCTTAAGGACTTTCAAGAACTTAGAGGACATTAAAAAATGATGTTGTCATGTAAATTACCAAACTGTCAAATTAATTAGATTTAAGATTTTTAGTTTCTAGCATACAAGATTGTTGCCTCCTGTTACAAGACTATCTAGTCCCCTGAAATGGTGGGGGACATTTAAAGACACCTTGAGGCTCATTAAGAGCATTTTTTGGCATTACTTTGTTGCAAGTAGATGTTAATCACCAGACATAAACTATTTGATGTAAGCTTGGCACCAGAGAATTTCAGACCTTTAAATATGCATTATAAGTTAATTTTGTGAATGTGATTCTAGTATCTGCCAAAGGCACTTCTCTAATTGCTCCGGTGAAACACGTCAGTGGCAATGGGAGCGTGCAGCTGGCAGGCAGCCAGTGAACTTTTAATTTCTGTGATCAGCTGAGGCTTTGTGTACACTTCAGCCCTTGAACTTGCACTTTGGTTTATGCTAAGTAGGCATTATTTGGGCTGCATTAGCCACCCACTTTCTCATTTTGCCATAATTAAGGTCATTCTTGCAGCTATACATCTGAAGACCATGAACATTTCTTTCTTAACCTCCCCCTTAAGACTGCCCAGATACTGATGTACACCGCAGAAGGGCCACCCAGATCTACACTTAATGAGAAAATGCCCTGAAATACAACCAGGGTTTTGAAATAATCTTCTTCACTGCAGTGCATTAGAGGTGTCGTGCTTTCAGAGGACGTGGCTGACATCAGTTTTGCCCTTATTCCAGCAACTATTTTTTTTATTGTAACACAATAGAGCCACTGCTCTCCTTAGCCTGGGTCCAGAGTTCCCAGCAAGGGACCATTTGTTTTTCCAGTTGTCACTGGCGAGCAGGCAGTGGCTGTGCTTTGTGGTCTGTGGTACAAGTGGGCTTGAAGATTTACGTGTCTCAGAAAACTGTAAGCACAACACCAGACACCGGTTAAGTTGTTTAAATTTGAAGTGTAAAAATTTTGGAAGGCTTTTTGTCCCCTTTTAGTCTTGAAATATAACTTCAGTAAACCAATGCAGGTGTGAAAGCATCCTCAGTTCTTGTCCCTCTGAACCACATGACAGAGCTCGCGTTATCAGGACTCAGCTGGGGCTTTTTGGCTGTTTAACTCTCATCTCTCACATTCTTCTGCTCTTCCAGCAATTATTTTGGTTCCAGCCTCAGCCTTGCCTTTCTCAGCATGAAAGTTACCACGGCTTGTGTCCACTTACTGACATTTAACCCAGCCTACCCGTACTCAGCTCTGAGCGTTAGGTTTTATTACCCGCTGTACTATGGTAAAACAGCAAAGTGTAAGTTGGGGGATTAGTTGCTCTGAGCTTAAGAAAAAAGGCCTTGGGAAACAAATGTTGCTTTGTTCTCTAGTGTATACCTCATTAGAAATTGTGTTTTGCAGAGGTTAATATACTGTGGGCAGCGCACCAAGTACATCATAGTTCTGAAGATTACAATTTATTCACAGCCTTGAGACAATCTGTACTGCAGAAATACACCTCCTGGGTAAGTTGCACAAGATTTGACAAACAAATTAATATCAACAAGTTTCAATAAAAGTGAAAACATAGTCTTTATTTCCCTTCGAAGAAAAACATATAAATTATTTAAGATGTTTGCCACGGAAAGCACAGAAGTTGAAAATGAAGTATCTGAGAATCATAAGCTTTAAAAATAAATTCATTAATCTTTTACAGCAAACTTGTAAAGAGATACAGTAGTGAAGTTTAGGAATGCTAATAATAACTGTGCATTTATATTTTCATAACTTTTTGAGTAAAATGGGACAATTTTTTTATTTGGTTATTCATTCATGCATAAGTACAGGAAAAGATCTGAGTATTACATAACTACTTTAGAATATGTCTGCATAACTGAAAGGAGCAGGGAAAGAAATCATTACTAAAAATTACTTTGGACATGCAGAGGTATTTATTTGTCTCTGCTCGTTCATGTCATGTGTCAGCACTCCAGTAAGTAGGGGCACTATGCCACTACTTTTACATAGTGTTATTTCAGATATGTATTTCAAACGGTGAGCTGTGTACACATACAATATAAATTGAGGAGTACTCATTTACAGATTTAAAAAGCTACATTTCTAAATACATCCATAAATATACTATTCAGTGGTTAATTTTTGGCCCAAGATAAATGCTGATTTCCTCACTTGCACTCTCATGTTCTCTTTTAACTCTATTTTTTTAACTCAGGTTGTGGTTTCTTTCTATCTTTGTTTTTTAGAAAAGAACAATAATTCCAAAATTTGAACTTTCAGAATTAGAGTTCAAAAGCAATATTCAATGTATTTTTGTGTATATGACACATTAAATGCTCTTTTCCACTGAGGTATAATGCTGGTGGTGGAGGATAGCTACATTCGTCCAACCTAGGAGGAAATGACTCAAAGCCGAGTGTGTGTTCACAAATGCAGATCCAGTGTAACTCCATTAACTTCAGAAAAGTTATTCTGGATTCATGCTCACGTAACTGATCATGGACGTAGCCTGTTCATAACTGTTTCAAGCCTGCGACATTAAATGAGTGCTAGGTTCCAAAAAAATTACTCTTTCTCCTGGAGATTGTGAAACAAATACTATTCATGTTGTTTCTTAAAATCTTCTCTGTAAATTCTGGTTGCTTTTTAAATTCAGAAAATAGCCATCTGATGTTATTAGGAGCGTCTCAAATTTAAATGACCACAATGAACAATAGCAGAAGTGATGCATCTCTGTCACAACTCTGCTTCCTATGTAAATACTGCCATGTTAAAGATTTAACCTTTGCACGTTTACCCATTGGGACCATATGTGCAAATGCTTAACAAAAACAATAATTCAAAAAAGACAAAAAGCCTGTGTGTACGTATGGGTGTGTGCATGAGCACTTTGTCTCCCTGCGTGGTTTAGAGGACGATACCTCAGAGAGCATAAAATATTCCGGAAGGCCAAGATGTCTGGCCTCCTTAGATTCTGAAGACCATCCTTCGGACCACACTGCTATCACTTGGCAAATAATATACATACATTTAAAAAGTGTCTGTTTTGACCAAAGGGAAGTGAACCCAGGAATCCGTAATACTTTTGTGTGCAGTGCTTTTTTGACCAAATATTTAATATCAGCCAAGACATTTGAGTAATGTAAATATTGGTTTACCCCCCCCTAGAACTTTTGAGAGGTGTGCCAATTTTCTTTCCCCAAAGTCTTACTGTGTAGGAACACAATTCTTGATAATTCTTATAGTGCTGCTATTTTTTTGGACTGCCAGACTTGTCCAGAATCCCGTGGATGTGTCTGCCTTGAAGCTGAAACTCCGTGAAGCCTTTAGTTAATCTCTGAGAGTGATCTGGTGTAGCTGAATGGGTGCTGTCGAATGCAGTTTGACATCCAGTTCTTGTGGAGGCTGTGGGAAAGTTGTGGTGGATGATATGGGATTGTGGGACTGTTCTGCTGCCAGCTTGTATGTGTTTTAAGTTAAATGTTATAAGATAAATAAATCAGCATATTAATCTGTGTGGGTTGTGCTCGAGCTGATTGAAAAGATGTGAAATGAAAGAGAAAAACATGCTTGAAGTGCAATCAGTGGTTTGAGACGTACTCCTGAACTTGGAGGCAAACGTCTATTGCTTCATGTTGTTTGCACACACAGTGTTTCTCTTACTCCACTGGAGGGGCCACAGGGAAACTGTCCCACTGTTGAGACTGAGAGATAGTTCTGGAGCCCTTTTTGTGTGGGAAGAAGATGTGGAAAAAAAAAAGTATATTCATTTTTAAGAAGAAATCAGCAAGCTAATGCTCTGTAAATTTTTGCTTCTGATGAAACACTTAGTTAAAGTGTAATTGTGAAAGGGGAGGGCTGCATATACACCTTAAAAAGCTGTGATTTAATTCTTTGAGTGCAAGTTCTCAACTTTCCTCCAAGGGTAAGATTGAATTGCAAATATTAGATCCATAATAATTTGATAGCTTCAGACTATACATTTAGATAAAGGACTGAATTATAGTTTAAGAGAAGTGGAAACAGCTATATATAAATCCGGAAAGGGAATCGGTAACTCTGCTCTCTTCAGCACAGAGTCACAAAGATCACTTCTTATCTAACGAGGAGTCTTGCCAGGTCTGGGATCTGTAAGGAATGGTTTGCTTTTTTTTAAACCCTTACCTTTGACTCCTGCAGAATCCTCACAGAAATGTAGCCCCCGTGAACTGGCCATCGGCAGCTGCCCCACAGCCCCTCTGTGGCTGCATTGGCTGGTGGCCACAGAGCCCTGGCGTGGAAGTGGAGGGGAAACTCAGCCCTCCTGCTACCCCTCAGGAGGTTCAGATTTCTTTTTTTTCCCCTCTGTAGTAAGTTTCTACTTCCATGTGAGGTGTATGTGGTAGAGCATGCCCACATCGGAGACTGTGCCACAGAAATGGCAAATGCCATAAGTGTGAAGGCTGCCCCAGGTAGGAATCCCCCTCCAAGCCCCTCGCTGAGTGCCTTTCCCATCAGGTTATTGGTTATTGTGGCTCACTCTCGATCTCTGCTGCTGAATCCACAAGTGGGAAAAGATCTGTGAGTGTGATAATTTTTTTTTCTGCAGTTTTGACCAGAAATTCCATCTTGGAGCCAGAAAAGCTTTTCCTCTACAGATTAATGAAAGCTGGTACATTCCCATGAAATGTTTTGATTTGGTGAATTGGCATTTCCAGTGAAAAGCTGTTTTGTTTTTTTTTTTTTTCCTGACATTGATCTTCTTTTTCCAGTGGAACCACAAATAGGAGAAACCAAATCTTTTGTATGGAAGAGGTTTTCATTCCTCCCTATGGGTTCTACTTTTGTAAATGATCTTTGAAATCCTTTCTGTGCAAAATAAAGCTTACATTGCAAGGAAGCATGAGGTAGTTAGGAAAGCATTCTCCTTTGTCAATCTCAAATTTACCTGTAAATTTATATAAAATTTCCCTCATCTCACCACTTAGCGGGGAAATCCTAGTACTCATTGTAAGAAGTAGCTTAGAAAATAAATATGAAGATGATCCTTCCTTTCCCTCTGAGTCATCTGTAAATACCACCAAATTGCCTCTGATGCTTTTTAGGGAAAAAGCGTATCATTTTTAACCCTGCTTTCAATCCTGCAACTACTTCCATGGATAATCTGAAAACCATCTGGTTTTTTTTGTTTTTTTGGTTTTTTTTTAATCAACTTCTTCTCCATTTCTTTTAAAAAATTTCCTGCTCTTATCATACCATTAGACAGGTATAATCAATAATAAGAGAAAACTGCAGTAGCTTTACTTAAATGTGGCCGTGTGTTCTACTCCTTCGCTGGCTTCTTTCTAAGATAATCTTTGAGAAAAACCACTCCAGCCTTCTGGCTGCTGTGGGACAAATGTCTCTCTCTCTCATTTTTCTTTTTTTTTTTTTTTTTTTTTTTTGCTCACTTTTAATAACTAAATACTAAGGGGGTCCAGGCTAGAGGAAGGAGGAAAAAGGAACTCAGAAACGAGATTGTCTCCATGCCAGTGTTTAGGGCATTTCTTTTAAAGAATGGGAAGTTTACACTACATTTCTGTTTCAGAGTCTGAAGAATTGTAGGTTTGAAAGTGACTCTTTTTAGCAGTCTTCTGCACAGGACAGTTTGGTCTGCATTTTTAATTCTTAAAGAGGGCTCGTGCCCCCCTCTACTCCAGAATTTCATGCCTAAATGCCATTTCTCCCCAATGGCATTTACTAGCACCCACCATAGGTAAGAATTGCTGTGAATTTTTGTGAGTCCAAGTAGGGCCTTAGTCCTCCATTGCCTTGTGACAGTGAGATACAGCTGTGGTCACTCTCTCAAGAACATCAGTCATAGTGTGGGGATGGAGGAGTCACAGCCCTGGTGTGACATCTTACCGCTTGGGCAGGCCTTTTGACAAAAAATGAGGGAATATCAGTATTAAACGCCATGTGCTGACCTACACTAAAGAAATTCCTGGCTCAGGAGGCCTGTCACGGCCATCAGATTGCTTTCCCTGAGGCTCAAAGATTTGATTTTTGTGAGAAGGACAAAATATTTTTGCTAATTTTGCTCTGTGTTTCACAGGGAGCTCTTGTCTGCTACCCAGATTTTCCATGAGTGCTAAAGAGATTTAAAGTTTTGAAGATACTTCAGCTACTATTTAGTTTAGAGAAAAATGTCTGTGTTTTAGGGAAGGATTAACTTCTGAATGCAACTGGTGTAACACAATGTGAGGTAGAAGAAAAAAAAAAAAAAAAGAGATAAGCCTTTTTCCAAAGAAAGCAGACTGGCTTTTAAAGTATGATGGTCTTGGAAGTCTTGTTCTATTGATCAGCCAGTTAAGTAATTAATTGTGGAATTCCTGAGACTTTACTCTTTATGTAAGATTTACATACTTACTTACTTCTAATGTAAAATACCAATATCTTTCATAAGTAAGCAGTTTTCTGAAACTGTTCTCATGCTAGCACGTCTTTAGAACTCAGCAACGTATCAGAGCTTCAAGGGAGATGACGTGAGGAAGTTAGGGTGAGAATTTATAATTAATTTTGAAAGCCAAGTAAGCTGCCTTGCCCTTGTGATGCTCACGCAGGGAGTTCAGATGGAAAAGCAATAGTGTTATAAATTCACACCTTGCTCGCTCTGTGATAATTCTCCCCTATAGGTGAACCCTTCATGTCATGGATATGCTGCTGTCTGTTCCATATACTACACAGAATAAACATCTAAACTCAGGATTTCTGAGTTCTTTTCTTGATCTTTCTGCTTACTCAGTATGACTTTGGGGAAATCACTTTTGCATCAATTAATGTCTCAATTGCTACAGCACATCTGGTGGTAACATACTAATCAGTATCTCTTTTATGTAACGTCTACATTTCCAAGGTATTAGAAGAAGCAATTATCTTTTGCAGTGCTTTGAGCTCCTGAGATAGTACTTCATTATATCATCACAAGTTTAGAATTATATATTCAATGTGTTTTTTCTTTCTCATTTTTCAGATTTTCAACTTGCCCATGGCTCTTTTCATCCCCCCTTCAGTGTTTGCTGTTCATCTGCAGTTTAATCTACTTTACCAGTTTTGGATACATACAGAGGTAAACCAGGTTTTTAAGCCATACCTAAACAGTTAGCCTGGAGCAGTGTCCTGGAAATCCACTAGCAGCTGATTTATTGTGTTAGAAAAATCTTTGTCTGACTTCTTTAAGGAGAAACATCTGTTCATTTTTATTCCTTTTTCTGAATATATATTGCTAAGTTTATAAGAAGCAATGAGGCCAGTTGGTCCCAATTAGATTTAAAAAAAAAAAAAAGTAGTAACTGTAAGGAATCAAAACTTTTTGCTATTTTAATACTATATTTTCCTATCTTGCAGCTTATTAAACATTTCTGGCAGATACTGAAACTGATTTAGCTTCTAAGATAAGTATTTTGGGGAAAAATATGCAAACCCCAGTGCTGCTTAAAAGATCATTTAGAGTTGCAGATACTGTTTCCTTCTTAGTGCAAGTAGTTGTCAAATGAAAATGCTCTTTGATTATCTGATGGCTGTTTGTTTATGACTGCACCTATGCATTTGTGTTTTGTGAGTGCATGCACCATATCTAGTTTGTGTATGTATATAGTTAACAACCCACTTTAATGAGTAAGTAGTTTCCCACACTTCTCAGATAGTTGAATGGCCTTTTGCCTTCTCCCTCGCACTGCACTAGAGGTGTTTAAAGGTATCCCATGTTATATGTCAGTAGCATATTTCTCAGTAGCCCCTCGTGGGCTGCAGGTTAATTATCTCTACAGCACTTAGTCCTTTGATTATTCTGACTATACAGACTCCTTTTCCCCCCTGTAGTTGCATTATGCGATCTATAGGACATTTCTTCTGGAAGGAAATTTTACTTTCTTTATCAGCTATTTTAGGCGATTGTGTTAAAATAAATTACAGTTTACATTTTCTCTTTTCTGTGTGTTTCCTGGGAAAAAAAAAATTAAAAGAGAATAAAGTTACTTACAGTGACCCAATAGCAAACTTCTGTTGTTGAAATTTCACTTCTGTTGGGCACATTTCTAAAATCATTAATATACGTCTGATGCTCTGCAACACCACGTGAATAGGAAAGGCTTACGATAAAATGTCACACACGTTGCCAGAACTGGCATAAACTCAAGCAATACACAATTAAGCTTGTCAAAATGTTTTGAACAAATTTGAACGCTTTGAAATTACACCAAATGAATATTCTGAATCACATGGTAACAAAGTTTCTTTGACCGTGCCTTAGGTTCCCCAAACTGGTTATACTGTGTTTTGCCACTAAGAAAAATATAATAAGCCTCATCTATGTCTTCTCTGCTGTCTGAAGCCATTTCTTCCTTGGCTGAGAGGCTTCTAACGTTCTGCTGCGTCGCAGTAACTCAATGAGTATCAGCACTGGTGCCACAGTGTGTGTCTAAAGTTTCTGAAGTGAATTTCAGAGGCTTATGAATCACCTACAGCCCTCTAAAGCGCTAAATCCTTCATAGGGCTCAAAAGGAATTTCCATACTGTATGTGCAATGTGCCAAGTTTAGACACTAGTCTAAACAAGAATGAATTTCAGTCTCAGTGAAAAGATAAGTGCTCCTTACTGTTAAAGTATTGTGCCAGTAGAAAAACAACGGATATTTTGTACTTATCCAGTTGATCCAATTGTAGATCTTTGTTTACAAGGGAAGTTATTCTTATTGTTGTATTGCTGGTTCTGTAGCGCAGCTGAAATCAGTTGAAATATATTGAAGTCATGGTTTAAGGTCAAACTAATGTCAAAATAGAAATAGGGTTACACCATGTATTAGCAGATTTCCTACTCTCAAGGGTAAGGGTATAACAGAAAAGAGAAATAAAGGAAGGGAAACAGTAGCAGCTATTGCAGTCACGCAGGTTTATATTAGCCAATATTTTTGGTGAAATTTGTAATAGTCTGCTTCTAAAATGCAGGAGCATTTGATGAGAAATGTTAAGTTTTTCCTCAGATTTCTGTTGCTTTTAGTCAGTATAGATCTTTCCTTAGAGAAGATTTGGCACCATATTGACTAGTCAAGTACGTTTGAAAATTGTAACTTCACAACTTTTTATTACACATCTTTCTCCTTCAGAAAAAGAAAATCTCGTAAGATACAGGGAAAAAATCTCTTTTTTTGATAGGTAAACTTTTTTCATAGCACTGAAAAGCTTAATAAAAGATATGCATAATTTACTGTTTTATAAAAGAAAAAAATACATAATATTTAAGTGATAAGAAAGAACAAAAGTATATTGAATTTTCTGAGGGAAGATGTTTTGTTTTGGGAGTAATTCAAATTGAATTCAGTAATTACAAGGGAATGATCATGCTGTGCTGAAACTTTATATGCTGTGTTTCAGCCTAGAGCAAAAGTTTATAGCCAAAGTATAATCCCTGATATTTTCCTATCCTTTAATTTTGAATGTGTCTAGTGTTGTTTCAAACAATGCTAAGAGAAGTTTCCTGTGTTATAACTTTGACCTTCTTCCAGATCTGTTATGTCAGTTTTTGTTCAGTTTTCCTACCAGCAGACCAGACATGGCCTATTGTATTTTAACCCAAGTGGCTCGTACATTCCTGTGAAGACAGTACACCAAATCATAAAGATCAAAAGTACCCACTCATTCTACTTCAGTTAGACTTCCTGCATACTTAGCTTTTATATAAAAATAATACAGTATTTTAAACACTGTAACTCATATAAAGATTGTAGTATACCATTATTTTGGTACTAGAGATCTTTTACTATTACTAAAATCAGTATGGGCTATTGATACAGGAAAGGCATTTATGTAATTAATAAATAAAAGTTGGGTGTGCTAGAATGAAAGCACGATTTTGTAACTTCAGTTATGAGTTTGCATTTAACTATATTGTCCCATTACAAGAATTTTTACCATCTTAAGTCCACTTTTTTTTTTTTCACTGCTTCTCTGCATTGTTACCCTGTGTACATGGCAATCTGAAATGATATAAAAAAATTTCCAAAGGTCTTTTAAAAATCTCTGAGTAGCACCAAGGTATAGAACTAAAATCATAGTATTAAATTTTATTAAAATTAAATATGGAAAAAAAAATTCAACCCAAAACCTGAAGAAAAGATTTTTTTTCTGTAATGGTACATAAAGATAGGAGCTAAATAAATCAAGAGAAAATAATTTTGGGTCCTATCCAATACTATTTAGGTCAATAGAATAACTCAGTCAGCAGATCTGCTCTTAAATGGCCTGGGAGAAATGTTTCCATGGCTAGACCATTCTCATCTAGATCATAAGGGGAGTTAAAAAAAAAAAAAAAAAAAAAAAAAAAAAAAAAACC